CCCCAAAACCCCAAAACCCCAAAACCCCAAAACCCCTTTTTGTGATAACTTGATTGAACTAGATTTATTAATCCTTACAAATATAAACTTTTAAGAATTTTAATGAGAGCTTATCTCAAAGATATTTGCCATCAAAATCTCTTAATTTAGTTGAGCAATCTCTGTAATACAGGATCTGAAATTTAGAGGGGCAAAGAGAGTTCCGTTCCCTTTGTAGAACTTATTTTGGAACTCTACCCAATGAAGCCTTAGGGTGTGAAGGAATCACTCCATCAAGTCCATACACATAAGGACTGCAAAAGAAGCAGTTGCAAAGACCATAAACCCAATAAAAATCATGATTGGATTTTGTGCTTTTACTCCTGACCAAAGGACAAGCTCGAAAAATACTTCAGCAAGCTGGGAGTGAGCTAAGGAAAGTGCCCACAATCTGAGGTAACTTGCAGTATTAGAGATAGTCCCCAGAACAAACTCAATTGTTTCAATTAATTGATGGATAAAAATCTCACTTGCAGTGTGAGAGGGTGAATTATCCTCTGAAATCAAACTTATCTTCTTCATTAGTTTATCAATCTCAGAATCTCTGCTAAAATTACTCTCATTTTTAGGAGATTCTTCTCGCATTCTTTTCTCCTCTTCATTTCCTTGCCTAGTGTCTCCAATTGGGTTTCCTTGGGTTTCATCTTCATCATAAAGTCTATGGTATGATTCTTCTTGACCTTCTCTGTTCGGATCTTGAAATGAAATTATATCAGTTTGGTCTTTATCATGCTGAAGAGCATTAATCAGAATGAATGGCTTTGGGATTAACATCAAAGGAATGCAAATAATTGCAATCAGTAACAGTGTAAGACTTATCTGCTGATTTTTCTCTATTGAATCGATAAACGGATATCCTTCAATCATAGCACCTTTGAGTGGGATATTGATCATTGTGTTGATAATAGATGGAGCCATATGTTCTTCTCCAGAGTAGTTGCTTAGCCATTTTAGAATAATTAGAAGATCCATATATCCAAAGAGTGCAAGTAATAAAACGATTTGTGGTAAGAATTCAAAGTAGAAGTCTAATTTCGACTTAAAATGAATTGCATTTAGAGCTTTCATTCATATTCCCAGAGCCATATGCGCTACTGCAATAATTACACTTAATTTCATTTTCATTGAATTTATAAAAGTTATCGAGAAACTACTTGTATACCATGTAGGATCGATCCCTATAGGATAGACTCATTCTTGGATAGTTACTTCATAGATTTTACTGTATCAACTATCTCCAAAAAGCCCAAGAGGGATTGACATCATATCGTTATATCAAAGTCCACAAAAAGTCGAGAAGAACCCCATTAAAAGTAACAAATATCGTGCAGGTAGAAAATATGACAGGAAAGAATCTGATGATATATGGTCATTTCTGAGTCATAGATAAGCTGAAAATAAGAAGAGTAGCAGTCCATGACCGATGTCTCCGAACATTACTCCGAACAAAAATGGGAAGGTGATTATTGTAAAATAGGCAGGATTTACTTCCTTATAGCCTGGCACTCCATAAGTATTCACTATCTGCTGAAAGGGTTCAATGAAGTCATTACTTCTAATCTTGGTAGGAGGAATCAGCTTATGTCCATTCGAGACATCTTCTTCCATAAGTTCCAAAGCTTGAAGACCTGGAAAGCGATGCTCTGATTGGATCAACTGAATATTCTCCTGAATCTTCCGGTTTGGCAAAGGACTCCAGAAGAAGCCGTGAATTAATGAGTTTATCGGCACAAGTTTATTTAGAGTATTATGGATTGCAAGCTCCCTTCTTATAAAAGATTGATAGATCATGAATCGACTCAAACTTGAATTTGGAATTTGATTTATGGACCAGAAGAATTCCTTAATTTCGGCATTCATTGTGATAATTACTTCCCTAATTTTAGATATGTTTGATGTAAGTTCACTAATAATATTTTGAGATTCTTCTGGTTCAGGAAGATCGTATTTCTCACTGTTGAAGCTCTCACAGATTGTTGTAAGCCTTTGATGAATGAAATCACCTTTTTGAAAAATAATAAGATACATTGTTTTAGGAGCCAAAATTCCTTCTTCTCGAAGGATCTCAGCAGAAACATCTTGAGTGATTACTATTGCTTTCCCTCTCGTTGCTCTGAACACTAGTCTCCTCAGCCTAATTGAATCTTCTTTACCAACAACACCTGCAATATTAGCAATCGAAATCGCTGCATAATATCCACTAACATTTTGATCCAGTAAGGGTTCCTTGAGCATATCTTTACTGCTATTCCCATCACCCCTAACCTCTCCAATCCTCGCAGCCAATCTATACTTCTCTCTGCCCATCTTATACACCTCTCTCATCAGCACCAGTGAAACGAGGTCTTTCTTAGTCTCATAATAACTCTTCATGGTTTCTTCTTTCCATTCTCTTCACTTCCTAATTTCTTCTTCTATATCATCAAAAATGGCGCTATTGGTCTGACCAGGCTTGGCTTGGATTTTGGTCAAGGCTTTTTCCAGTTCTTGAATGGTCTTGGGTGTGGTCATGGGGATTTTCCAGGCAGAGGACTCTTGGATTAGGATTTGTAAATTTCTTAGAGTCTCCTCGCACCGCTTAATTTCCTTTCCATATACCAAATTAAACGACTGCTCTCTCTTATTCAAATCAATAAACTGTATACAATCTAGCGCTCCAAATTTCAGCATCGCCTTTGGAGCATTATCCTTAAATCAAGTAAACTGATAGAGATGCATACTCTCTGATCTCAATAAGGACATTTTCTATTATATTTTATTCCAACTCTCGTAAAAATTTAGGGGTTTTGGGGTTTTGGGGTTTTGGGGTTTTGGGG